AGCAAGGTGCCTTGACGACAATATTTTATTTTTAGATGTTTACTTGGGAAAGAAGGTCGTCAGACAAGAAAGGAGTCTAATACAAGTCACTGTCAGTCCTTAAAGAAAAAGAACATTTTCTTTCAGTTACACGCACACAAAAATGAGGGTGGGGTGATTTAGATCGCTTTTTTCCGCGCACATTCTAAAGGGAAAGGAAACGGATCATTTTTTTTTTTTTTAACTACTTCCCTTTACAAAAGAGAGAATAGAAAAATATTCAATGCTGTTTTAAACATTGCAAAAAAAGTATTCAGAGAAATTATTTGCAATATTATTAAACTTCTTTTGTAGCATGAAAAGAAAAATAAATTCAGTCGGCAAATAAAACATTAAAATAATTGCCAAAATAATTTTTTTTAAACAGAGAGAGAGAAACAAAAAAAACCCTCAAATGTTTTTAAATAGACAATTTTAAATTAAAATTTTTGAGTTAATTTTAAAATAAAGTTTTTGGGGGCTTTTTAGCTTTTTAACTAGTTTATTAAAGGATTTTATTTTTAATTAATTTTTATTTATTTTTTTCAATATAATAAAATTTTAATCGACACACACTTGCTTTTTCCCAGAATTATACAAGCAGTTGGCATGAAATAAGAGATTTTTTTGGCAATATTTGTTATTTGTTCAAAGTTGCTGAAAACATCTAAAAATAAAGCACATAATTTATATGGTAATTGTTGTATTTTTCTTTTCATTAAAAAAAAAAAATTGAAACATTTTTTTTTCAGAACAATTAATAACATTTATGAATTAATTATATGACAAAAAAATAACAAATAAATTGTACCAGATCTTTATTTTTTTCTAATTGTTCTTTGATAACTTGGAAAGGATTTCTTTTTTCTTTTTGTATATCTAAACAAGCAAACATGATTAGGCATAGTGGTTTCGTATTGTCGGCAGGTATAAACAGGCCTTGGGGGGGTTTTGATATGTTGTCATTAGGATCACTTTTACCGTTATTGTTGCTGTTGTTAGGCCAAATTTTATATTCACATACACACAAAATACTATATATACACATTCATGAAAGTGAAAGAGTAAGGGTGAATGTAACTATATTGTGTACTGTACGTGCTATATGCAGTGAGGTTGCCTTCGTGAAATACCGTGTATACTCGTGTATAAATCGAGGTTTTGCGATTGACCTACATACAGGTAAATCGTTTGCATTTACACTGAAATACACATACTTAGGGAAAGGATAGAGCAAGTTTTAGCCTGAGACGTTAAAAATATTCACTATTTATACGCCCAGCAAATCATCAAAGATGTAATGTTTGAATTAGTAAGGAAAATTGTGCAGTGCCATCGACAGATGAATGAAACTTTATTCATTTTTCTTTCTTTTTTTTTTTAGCCGATGTGGACACAGGCGGGTTTGACAGCAGTAGCCATATTGATAAAGAAAAGGAAATAAAAACTTTTTTGTTATTATTTTCAAAATTAAAATTATAATCCACATCAATTTGATTTCCTTGTTTATATATCAGCTGTTGTGAGTCTGTTGCCGGGATAGACCTTCCTGCTTCAGCTTCATTGTAGCAAGCACAAAGTATTTTATTTTTAAATGACATAGGAAGGAGGATGATAAAGGCGACCCTTTCCTTTAAGTTAACGCTTTCTGCGGTGACATTTTTTTGTCTCTAACATCAATTATTTTAGCATAATTTGTTCCATTAAATTTCAAAACCTAGGGTCAACCGATACACGAGGCACAACACAACATAAATAACTTATTTAGCTAAAAATAAATCGACTTAGATACGAGTATACACGATTTAGCAGAAAGTATAAGAGATAGACATACCTTACATTTACAATTGTTTAATAAAACAGGTGTAGCTGTTCAATTAAAATAGCAAACACTCAACTCAACGCATACAGAAGATTCAATAAATATTTACTTGGAGATATTTAATTTATATCTACATATCTATGCATAGATAAAGATATATATAATAATAATTATTCTCCTCATAATTGCATCAACCAAAGCATATTCTCTAAAAAAAAAAAAAAAAAAAAATGTACTCGTTGGGCTTTAGTTACATTTTCCCTATTTTAAATAGTTAAGATTGTTTTATAATATAATCTCATACTTTTTTTACTAATAAATATTTAAAGTCTATATTTTTTTTTAAAATCCATTTAAAATAGGGAGTTACATTTTTTTAGGCACTTTCATAAAAATATACGGTCCAGAGAGAAATGTGATGATGTATATCTCATCAATCTGCTGACTGACATCATTTTTATTTTAAATAAAGAATGCAGTAGTAAATTAATTTATTTTAAAAAAAAAAAAAAAAAAAAAAAAAAATTTTAAAATTCATTTAATCAAAAGCAAAATTAAATATTTTTTTTTTTACAATCAAGGCGCAAAATATCAGAGAAAAACTAAAAAAAAGCTATTGTCACCTCCACTAACTAGGCTTTCTTTATTTTAACTTTCAGTTTTAAATTAAAAACAATTTCCTTTTTTTTTTAAACAAAATAATTCCAATCAAGTAATAATAACCTTTTCTTATTGTATGCTACGCTTCAGCAAAGCAATTTTTTTTTTTTTTCATTAAAAATTATTTCTTATACTTTTCCTTTTTTTAATTAAAATATTTTAAAATTCTTTAACAATTTCCATTTAAAAGGGAGTCAGTACGTCAACACATTCCTCTTGGGACTGCACGTCTAAAAGGACCCAGAAATTGTTTGACTAAAAATGAAAAGAAAATATGTAAAAAATAATTATTAGTTAAGTTTCTTTTTAGGAAGGAACACACACACAGACAGAGAGAGATAGACAGACACACACGTGTGCATATTGTACATAGAAGCAGATGGAATCACAATTCTACAACAAAATATACATTTAACAGATAGCCAGCAATATACACACACAAAAATGTGTATATACAATAATTTACATGTAAAAAAATAAATGCTAATTTTGAGAAGCCATTATTTTGGAATTACTGGAAACATTTTTAAGTTTTACGATTATTTAGTATTTAATTAATACTTTGTAATTGTTGTGGGTTTATTATTTGCTTCAATTTCTTCCAAGTTGTAAAAAGCAAATCACAGCATTTTTTTTTTTTTTTTTTAATGAAAGGTTGAAAGGGGTCCAATGTTCAAAAATAAATGCCTCGGAATAGTGAGATTTTCTTTTTCCTTGGCCTATTTTAAAATGCTTCATAAAGCAAATAGAATTTATTTAAAACTTTTTAGACAGCATTTTTTGAAGCTCTTCCTTCAAGGTTGTAAAAAAAAAAAAAAGAAAAAGAAAAAGAACATTAAATTAAACTACTAAAAACATTAAAAATCGCACTCGATTTCTCTAGTGAATTTCTCTGTACTGGATAAAAAATCCAGTTTGTAACATCAGTGGATTTTTTTTATCACAAATTTCCCAATTATGCATATTATGGACGTTGAAACCCGTTCACATACAAGGTTGGGATTTTTTTTTTCCAAAGAACATTCCATCCTGAAAACAAAGCTGGAAAACAATTATTCCTTAATTGCTCTCCACTCTGATCAGTGTGGCTTTATAAACGTTTATAACATACCTTAAGGTATGTTATAAAGTTATAACATACCTTAAGGTATGTTATATATATATATATATATATATATAACATACCTTAAGAAGGCCACTGATGCTGTCAAGTTATAAATAAAGAGAGTTCACAATATGAGGCAAAGTAAAAAAAAAACACGCTATTTTGCACTGATTTTTTTCCACTTATGTTGTAATGTAAATATTTTAAATTTTATTCAGTGTCGTTTTTTAAATAAAGGGCGTTAAGCCGAGTTATCACAGTTTGATTAACATTTTATTTCCATTTAAATCCCTCATCAGTTATCAATAAGAAAATTTATCTTTCTTCCTTAATCTTGAAAATTAATTCTTGAAAATCATAATTAATTTTCCTAGTGATTAAAAGCAAAAAAATAAATAAAACTGAAACCAGATATGCAGCTTGAAAACTACCACTAAAAATCAAGGGGCTAAAATTTGTAAGCTTTCCCACCCCCACTGTTCATTTCCAGACCTGAAAAGGGGAAATACGTCAAAAAAATACAAAATAAAAATGAAAAATATCAAATGTAAAGGTCAAATATCAAATTTTTTAAACTTCTTCCTAAAATACTTTAACTAATTTTAAAAGAAAAAAACAAAAACACATACATTACAATCATTTTTTTTAAAACAATTTTTCACTAGAACAAAAACTTAAATTTCCTACGTTTTAAAAAGTAAAAACCTTACTCATACCAGTTAAAAATTACACTTTTAAAATCTGTTTTTAAATTTATAAATTATAGAATTTAAAATTATTTTAAAATTTTTTTTTTTAAGCTATCACTTTTTTGCTTATTTTCTTGAGTTCAATTTCCTTTTTTTTAGTTGTGGACGGTTTTTTTTATTTTTTTTTAACTCATTCATTGTACTACTTACTTGTTAAAATAATTTCCGATAAAATTAACAACCTAAAAAGACAAGTTATCTTAGTATTTTAGGTCTACAAGAAAGATGTAAAAAATACATCCACAAAAAGGAATTAAAAATATAATTTTTTTCAGCAGAAACCAAAAATGTTTTTAAAAAATATTTTTAAAAATGCTTTGACGTTTGTACGTTGTTGTTGTTTCTTTCTTTTGGTAATTAAATAAACATCTATTTTTAAGAAGGAAAATAGGTAGACCATTAATTAATTAAGAAATTAAATTATTTGATAAATTAATTAATAACAGTTTCATTTTTTATTGATTTTTTTCTTGTTACCTCTTACGCTTTTTTTCCTGAAAAAATGAAAATTCAAGTTCATTTTTTTCTCATTCTTCTCTCAAACTCATGAAGTGTCAACATTTGTGGGGATTTAAGCAAAAAACATTTTTTTAAAAAATGCACACACAGACACAAATCCTAAAAATTATGATAATTTTTTCTAAACTAGAAAGTGGATCCTATTTGGGGAAGTTTTGTCCGCGAATTAAATTGAGACGATGTGACAACCACATCATCTGGAATTATCTGTCTTGTTTTACTATTTCCAGTGCTGGACCCATTGGCCAATTTTGGTACGGCACCATTCCTATTATTCCCCGAAGAATTACGGCGACTTAGTGTCGTCAAATTGGTGTTGGCCCCTACAGTCGAACTGGCCAAGACAGTTGTTGTCGTCGTGGTAGTTGAGTTAGTATCCCTGTTTTCGTTGGGGGGAGGTTTTGGTAATCTCCTCCGGAGCCATGCATGTCGGAGGGCCTGGCTGGGAGTCATCCTGGTACTTGGGTCCCAATCCAGACACCTCCTCATAAAGTCTAAAAATAATGGATCGTCGCAACCCTTTAGGGCTGACATTATTTCCTTGCTTCCTGGCGAACCACGAGGTTTACCTCGTCGCGACCGGCCACCGTTAATAACGTTCGAACCATCGGGGAGGGTGGTCACAGTACAATACCTCGGGTATCCTTTAGAACTGATAAAATTCCGAGCCCTTTTCGACTGATCAAGAAGTCTCTGTGGAGGCATACCTAACAACTCTATTATACAGGCGAGCTGATCGCTCTCATCTTCGCCGGGGAACAGAGGGTAGCCGGTAAGTAACTCTGCTAATATACATCCTAAACTCCACATGTCTATAGGCATTCCATATTTGCCTCCTAAAATTACTTCGGGTGCCCGGTAAAATCGGGATTGGATGTAAGTGTAGATCCTCTGGTGTTCGTAACAGCTGGATCCGAAGTCTATCACTTTGATACCGCTTCGCCCCTGTTGTTTGAGTAATATATTCTCGGGTTTTAGATCGCAATGAATAATGCGGTTCTTGTACAGAGAATCGAGACATTGCAGAATGGAATGGGCAAACTTTCGAACCAGCTGTAAGGTGAAACCTTGGAACTTATTTTTCTTTATCAACTCGTAAAGATTCATGCTGAGCAACTCGAATGTGATGCAAATGTGATTGCGAAAGGTGAAATGTTCCAGCATGTGTACGATATTCATAGAGTTGTCGCGGTCTTGCTTTTTAAGATGTTCCAGGATGCGAATCTCCTCCTGGGCCTGACGGTGGAAGCGTTTCTCGTTTCGGACCATCTTCAGGGCGACGTGCTGCTGCACCTTGTGGTCATAGGCCTTGACCACTTGGCCGAAGCTGCCCTTGCCGATGATCTTGAGCACCTCGTATCGGTAAGCGATGTGGTCGTGAGGCACGTGCAGGTAAGATCCGTTGTCGTCATCAAATCCATTGTTGTTGGTGCCACCAACCACACCTTGTCGTTTCTTGGCATTCGGTCCCACAAAGTACACATGGGTATAGTTGAAGATCTCGTGGTGCTCAAATGTACTAAGCTTGTGCATATACTGTTTCATTGCCGCCTCTGGCATTAATGCATTGTTACTGGTGGCCCCTCCACCACTACCACCCGCGCTGCCACCGCCGCCACTGCTGGTTATCCCAGCAGGTACCCTTCGATTATTAAAACTCGTGGCTGTCGTAGTCGTTGGATGATGGTGATGCTGATGGTGATGGTGGAGGTGATGGTGATGGTGGTGGTGATGGTGGCTGCTGGACACGAGAGACGACGAAGTGCTTGTCACAGCTGGGACGTTATTATTATTAGTATTACTATTATTGTTGCTGTTGTGTCCGGCACCCCCAACACCACCGCCCAAATTCGTAACGTTCGTTATGACCGTCGTGGTGGCGTTGGCCGAGGTAGGAGTGGCCGTTGTGGCCGGGGCATTGGTGGTGCTGGAGGCGACCACGAGGTTCTGGCTGTTAGCAATTGTCGTAGTAGTAGTGTAACCAGCCGAATTACGAGTGTCGGTTATACGAGTTGGAGTGCTGACCACTCCGTCCTCTCCGGCCCCTCCTCTTTCACCCGCCGGTGTAATAACAATGGTAGTTGTAGCAGTGGTAGAAGCAGTACTACCACTGCCGGGATGGGGACAACAATTACAATTATTCCCACTAAATCGGTGCTGTTCACTTGAAGAAAGCGACGGAACACGGGCCAATATATTTCTGGTTGGGCCGGATTTATCTTGGTAGTAATAGTTACTATATTGCTTTTGGTAAGTATGACTATTGTTGATTATAGATACAGTAGTAGTAGCAGTAGCGATACTGGCCGTACCAACAGCGGCAGCAAGGGCCGCGGTTATGTTATGGGGGGTGGATAAACTTCTTAACCTTTTAGTAACTACAGGGGTGCTGGTAGTAGTAAGAATATTGTTATAACTTGTGGTGTTGTTACAACTGCTATAATTTGTGGCTGTTACTGTTAGATTGTTGGGGTTGCTACTGCTGCTGCTGTTGCAGCGGACAGGGGGTAGAAGCGTCAGGGGGGATGATGAAGATGGGTAATTCCGGCAGCAGCCCTGGAGATGTGAGGGTTGAAGATGAGTAGCGGAACAACACGGGGTGTGGTGGCGGAGAAGACGGCGATTAGCAAGAGGGGATGCAAGTTGTTGTTGTTGTTGTTGATGGTGGTGGTGATTATGGTTATATTGCTGTATATCGTGATGATGATAGTGGGGTCCTTGGTGATGGTGGTGGAGATATTGGTCACAACTAGTCAAATCGTTAACTTGCCCAGAAGAGGGAGAAGAGTTTGCAGACCCGTAGGGACTGCTGTTTTGTTGTTGGTGTCGGCGATAAAGAAGATTGGGTGCGATAACAGGGGGAGGCAGGGGACTAGTAGGAGAAACCCCTGTTGTAGAATTAGTATTAGTACAATTATTTGTTTTAATACTAGTTGTAGTACCACTATTATTGGTAGCCCCTCTTCGACCACTGCTTCTACTACTGTTGTTATAGGTACCGGTGTTGTTAAAAGTGACAAGACCTGATCTTCTGCCAACAACAAAGCCACGACAGGCTTCTCTATCTTCTTGGTGTCTATCTTTATCGTCCCTTCTAACTTGTTCGTCTTCGTCGTCTTCGTAATAGTAGTAGTAGTCGTCCTGTGGATTCGCTTGCTGTTGCTGTTTTTGATGATGATGTTGTTGGTGGTAACGCTGTTGCTGTGGGTGGTGATGATGATGATTACGATTGGGTTTCTGTTGGATTTGTTCTTGTTTGCGAATAGTGATGGTGTCGTCGTCGTTGTTGTCGCCAAGGCAGTAGCGATGCTGGAGGCTTTGTTGCTGATGATGCTGTTGCAACAAGAAAGGAAAGAGGCGGTCGTCGTTATTGTCGTCTTCTTCGTCGTTGTCGTCACTTGCGTCGTCGACAACTCCTCGGTCGCCATTTTGTGGATCTCGCGCAACGTTTGTCGGCGCTGTGATACGCCGTCTGTCTTCGCCAGCCGCGGCTCTAGATCCTCTACCGGTGGCAGCCACCACCACTAAAACGTCTGTGGTCGAATTTTTCGGCTCCTCCCGTCTCTCTTGGATCTTATCTCTCTGGTTATAGCGCCTCGATTGTTGATCAGCGATCGCAACGGTGATGGTACTATTTGATTCAGAGCGCGGAGGAGGCGGCGGCGGTGGGTGATTAGATTGAGGTGAATGAAACTTGCTGCTGCTCCCACCACCACTCTGTTTATGCTGATGCTGATGTTGATGATGGGAATAATACTGTTGTTGGTGGTGGTGATGATTATGGTCGCTGTTACTATGGAGTTGTTGGTGATGGTGATGATGACTGCTTGTAGTATGATGATGATGATGGTTGGGACTGCTGGGCTCTGGTTGATGATGATGACTGCTCGTACTATGGTGATGTTGATTATGATGATGTTTTTGCTGGTTGTTAGGGATGTAGTATTGTTGTGTTTGTTGCTGCTGGTTGTTAGGGAAGTGTTGCTGCTGTTGTCTAGTGTTGCTACCACTGCTACTTGTTCTACTACTACAACTACCACTACTACTGCTGCTACTTCGATTATTAAAGTCGCCACTAATTATAGTAGCCACTCCAGAATGTTGTTGTCGGCCCTCAAATAACTGCTGAATCTTTCTCACCGCAGTTTGCTGACCATATACTCCGTGGCTCACATGGCGATGAGTACTGGGCAGTTGCGGGCAAGAAGGAGAAAAAGACAGATTTTTAATTTGTTGTTGAGGGGACAATAATGGTGAAATTTGGCTCTGCTGTCTCTCTTGAAACCTCTGTTGTTTCAAAACAAAAAGTAAAGAATCCGGGACATTGCTATTTGTACTAATATTATTACTAATACTATTGTTACTACTGCTACTGCTACTCCGATTACAGCCACTGCAACAACAGCTACCACCACTACTACTGCTACTATTACTGCTACAACTTCCGCTTCTTGTATTGATATTATTGCCACAAATATTATTATTACAACCAAAATCGCCTCCGGCTATCGAAGGTAATGAAGATGATGTCGAAGGGGGGATATCCAATCGATCTCCTACTGAACCTGTGATAATTCCAACTAAAACGTTACTACTGTTAGTACTACTGCTACACCGGTGTTCTATTCCTCTTCTTCTTGTAGCAGTATTTCCAGGGTTAGTCGGTAGCAATAATCTATTGGTGCTACCTGAATTGGTTGAATTGTTACTATCGTTATTGTGGCCAGGTAATTTCCCACGGCTTCTGGAATCGGTAAAGTTTGTTTTTATTCTTGTTGGCGATGAAGATGAAGTGCCCGTTTTAATTCCTTCTCTGCCACCTCCTGTAGGGTGATGGCTAGTTGATATCTTTGATATTTGTCCGGATGTCTTTGGTCCGATTGTTGACAATCCACTGCTCCTAACCACTGAAGGAGAAGTGTTTTTAAACGTGCTGTAGGTACAATAACTGCTTTTACTAGTATGTGCAAGTGCAGGAGTCACACAGCCGCCAGTTGGACTATCACCAATCCACTGACTACATTTTAATGAAGCACCTGCATCAGATCGTTCAAAGTTTCTGCTATTGTCATCAATGCAAGTAGAATTATGGCTTGTATCATCAATAATTTGCGAGGAAGACGAAGGGGATTTATGTGTACTATATACTAACACAGTGCTGCTGCTGCTACTATTATTGCTGGTGTTTGCTTTGGTAGTATTGTCAATGGTGCTTACTTTCGAACCCGATTTTGTTATATGTGTAATATTTGGAGAAGAGCTGCTCGTTTTAATAGTGATAATCGTACCAGACGTCGGCGATATTACAGCAGCAGGGTTTGTAGATTCTGGGGTGGTAAATGTCGCGTCCAGATACTGACCACTGTCCAGTCTCATCGTTGTTGGACTGGTTGTGGTGGTTACAGCAGTTGCTGCAGTGTCCATTCTTCTTGGTTGTTGTGGCAGGTCGCCACTACACACCAGGAGCGATCTGCTTCCTCTTCTCTGATGATCTGAAATTAGCCTCTTCGTCATCATCGTAGTCTCATGTCTGTTATTCTGGGTTTTTTTTTTGTTTTTTGTTCTTTTGGTTTTTGTCTGCTTTTTTTTTTTTTTTTTTTTTTTGCTTTTTTTTTCGCTTCTTTTTGTCCTTTTAAAACAGATCTATTTCTGCTGGTCGTAGCTCTGTTGAAAAATGCAATTCCACAGCTCTTGCTTTTTGTCTTGTGTCTGCTAGCTTTTCCACATATTTTGCAAGAAGCGGCTGCTCCTCCTCCTTGCTTTTAAAGCAGTTTTGTCTTTACTTCCCCCTTGTCTACTATTTTCTCTCCCTTCTCAGACCTGCATTCTATTTCTTTTTCCTACGCGACTGATTCCTCATTCTTCCCTCTCTGTATTCCTCTTTCTTGTAGATTTGACAACTAACCACGCACCCCGCTCTCTGATTCCAGTCCGTCTATTCTCTTCTTCTCATCCCCTATTCAATCTATAGCACTTCCTCCCTGTCTTTCTATCGTCTCACTCACTCACTCTCACTCCCATCATTCTACCTCCGTTTCCCTCTCTAATGTCATATCTGTTTTCCCTTTAAATTCTATTCATTCCGTCTCTCTTTCCATTCTTTGAAAAACCATCTCTAAATTAAATTTCTCCAACATTCGTAGACTTGATTTGCAAGTACTGCGACTGCAATATTGCAGTATGCCTACTTGGTTTATTTTTTTCTTTTATCAAATACTACACCTTTTAACAACTTTAACTAATTTGAATTTTAACCACTTAACCGAGGTAAAAAAAAAACAAAAACTTTCATATTTTATTATTTTTGTATAACATAAGTGACTAACATTAATTTAAATATCTTGTATTGTGAATGAATAAAAATGTAACCTTGCTACACGATGAGAACTTTTCATCTCATAAACAATAGCCTTCTTACACGAAGTGGTTTTTATTTTAATTATTTCTGTTTTATTTTATTTAAGTGACTGGATTTTCATTTTAAATAATAGACTTGTTTTTTTTTAATACAAGGAAATCAATAACGAAAATTTTAAATAGATTTAAAAACAAAAAAGTGAAGTTGGCTGTTTGAATTTAATTTCATGTGACATTGAAAATTAGAACGCTTTTTTTTTCTTGTTTTTTTTTTTCATTCATGAATGTTTTTTTGGGGTTTTTTTACACTCATACTGTTTTTTATATAATTGGAGTTTACGAGGAGAGAGAAAAACAACTTCAATTTATTGTGTCAAATCTATCAATCAATATATAATCAATACACTAAATCGAAACATAGATCCTAAAAGGGGGGAAAAAAGTAATTCATCTGATATGAGCCTGGACAGGTTTGCTTGCTTTTTTGCCAAAGAAGAAAAACTCATACTCTGGGGTTTGGGGGTCGGGTGTCTACTGTCTATTGTGCATGTGTGTCTGTGGAAATTATTTCCCTAAAATAAACTATCTTTATATTTTTTCTTCAATGGTTTTTAAATTTATCATTAGACTCCGTTCAAGATATTTTTTCCAGCCTCTATCAGTTCAAAAAAGTGAAGATTTTTTTTTTATCTCCATGTTTTTTTGAGGTTTTTTTGGGGTTTTTTTTTAGATGTTTTTGTTTTGCGTTGAGTTGAAAAAATATTATTTTCTTCAAAGTTGACATTTTTTTTAATTATATTTTACAAACTTTATTTCAATTTAAAATATATTTTTGTCATAATGCACTGAAGAAATTGCTATTTCAAAACGATTTTTTAACATTTTAGCAAAAAATAATACACAAAAATAAAATCATTATTTCGTATTCAAACGTAGTTTGGTCACGGGACCAGCTTATCGTAAACAGCACAGTAGACAAGTTTAGGGAAATCGCTTCTTTACGCTGTTAAATTAAAAAAAAAAAAAAAATTTATTTATTCTGACGCTGTTTAAAAGTTTTCAGAAAGATGCATTGAAGCTGTTTCTATTCTTTTTTTATGTTTGTTCTTTGTGCAAAATAAAAGTAGTTGTTTCTGAAAAAACACGACCCTCCAAGAAGTCTTTTCTTTTATTTGGTAAACTGGGCATCTTCACACTTTGTTCGTTTTTACACTCCGTTCTGAAAAGTCAGTCCCCCTTTTTTTTCTAAAAATACGAAAATAAGTTGTTCTTTTTTCCTGTCACCTACTCAAATTAATATTTTCCCCTTAAAGATTAGTTTTTACTTTTTATTCACTTATCTCTACCTTTAAAGTAAAATAAAATTAAAACAAAATGAAGTATTTACTTTTCACTTCCTTACCTTGTGTGATATGAAAAAAGAAAAACGCATTAAAAAATAACGTTTTCAAATTAAAATCATACTCAAAATTAAATCCATTTACCATCATATTTTCCTAATTCTCACTGTAGTAAACCTTAAACTGGTTGTAATGTTGACGGAAGATCCCCAAACTAACCTTAATGAATCTTACCTCAAAATTTAACTGAGCTATACAACTTACAAGGTTATTCTAACTTTTTTAGCTCATTATAGTTTGCTTGTAAAAACACATACCTTCTTTTAAATAATTGAAAAATCCAATCTAATCTTAATCTGCAGTAAAAATAATTTTCAATATATTATCAAAGGAAATTCATTAGAGGGTTTTTTTTTGTTTTGTTTTTTTTACGACAGTGTGTTTAAAAGCCCCAAATCTGATACGACGGACGTGGGTAGGGGGCGCTCTTGATAGAGCTGAGAACTTTTCAGCACCCTGCCGTATTTGAAATAAACACCCACCCACCAACACACACAAAGCTGGGTATGGGATGAGAAGATTTTTCCCTCATTTGAAGAGGATCAAGAGATTGACCACATTTGATAGGAGGATGTTATTGTTAAATGAATGAAGTTTTCAGCCCGCTCCCCAATGAAAGTGAAAAGGGTTTTCATTTTTTTTTTTTTTTTATGTATGGAAGACTATAAGGGCCAAATAGTATTTTTTGATTATTTATATAGTCCTGTCATTATAAACCCCCATATAAACTTCTTTCATACTTCAAACTTTCTAGTTTGGGCCACAATCCATTATTTTAGCAAAAGGAACAGTGTGCTCCCAGTTCCATTCAAGCCTGATATTTTATTTACAAACTTTTGAAAAGCTGGTTTTCTTGCTTATAAAACTGACAAGTTTGAATAATTCATATTATAAAAAAAATATTTCATTCTACAAGATAAAAATTGTTCAGGCAACAAGAAGATGGCGTGTTCACATAATTTTTCCCTATGCTAGTCAACAGCAAAATAAATATTGATTCAATGTGTGTTCCTATGTGGTTTTTATTATTATTGTTATTCCATGAACACAGACATTGAAAAATGTGCAACACATTCAAGACACAAGAATATATTTTTATGAAAAAAAAAAGCTTATCTCACTGAAAAATCTTTTATTAAGCAAAAACAAAGAAAAAAATGAGCAGTCAGTGTCTCTTTTCTTTGGTGAGAGTGTCATCTGAGGACTTGGTGTTATGTGTCTCCAGCAGAGCGAAAATATAACATGATCATTTATGATGACAAGAATCAGGACATTTGTTAGCCTATTTTCATATAGATAGAAAAATTTCAACAAGAAAAAAAGACAATTAATAAATAAAGAAAGATATAAACAAGCTGAGATGTGAACAGACCAAGATAGGAATAGTCTGATATTGATATGGACAAATAAGGTGATTTGATCAAAACACGATTATATCTGAAGAGATTACAATAGGAATAGTCTGATATAGATATGGACAAAATGAGGTAAATTCCTTAGAACAGGAATATATCTGAATGGACTAAAATAGGAATAATCTGAGGTAAATATGGACAAAATGAGGTTTAGTGCTCAAAACAGGGATATATCTGAACAGACTAAAATAGGAATAATCTGAGATAAATATGGACAAAATGAAGTAAAGTGCACAGAAGAGGTCTATAATAGGAATAATCTGAGGTAGGTATAAACAAGATAAGGTAGATTGATCAAAACTGAGATATATCTGAACTGACAGCAATAAGAGTAAGCAATAAATATGAACAAAATGAGGTAAAGTGCTCAGAACAGAGATATATCTGAACAGACTACAGTAGCAATGATCTGCGGTAAATATGGACAAAATAAGGTACATTGATCAAAACAGATATATCTGAACAGACTGCAATAAAAATAATCTGAGGTAAATACAGACAAAATTAGGTAAAGTGCACAGAAGAGGTTTACAATAGGAATAATCTGGGGTAGGTATGAACAAGATAAGGTAAATTGATCAAAACTGAGATATCTGAACAGACAGCAATAATAGGCAGTAAATATGGACAAAATGAAGTAAATTGTTCTTAACATGAATGAGATATGAACAGGGATAGTGCTGAACAGACTAATATAGGAGCAGAGAGACCTGAACAATTTAGATAAGTAGATATGAACCGGATGAAATATGAACAGAGAACGATCTGAACAGCTCACCATAGATATGAAAAAGGATAAGCAGAGATAGATACAGACAGAATTTTGGTAGATACTATAGACTCAACTCTGAATTGGTTAAATATTTCACCTCTCTGGGTTTTCTTTCAGACATGCAAGATGTCTTCTGCTTTTATAGGTCAACTGTTGATATGCTAACAGCTATTGCTGCAAAAATCTATCAAGCTTTAGATAAAAATGTTGAAACTCTGGCTGTTGCTTTTGATATGATATCTCAGAGACATATGACAGGGATTGGCATGTTAGTCTTCTTCACAAGTTAAAAGATAATGGTATTTCTGGACTAATTTTTGATCTGATTCAATCTTTCTTATCAAATTGCAAAATGAGAGTTGTCTTGAATGGCCACTATTCTAGAACTTTTGCATTAATGGAGATGTCCCCCGAAGCTCTATCCTTGGACCTACATTGTTCCTAATTTTCATCAATGACCTTGCCGATGTCATCAGTTCT